ATATTATATTATATTAATATGTTTATTTATTTATTTTATTTTATTTCAGGTCATTACAACAGGTTTTAAAGGAAGCACAAACATCTTTTTAATCCTGAACTAGGCATGATGTCATCAGGTTTAACACAACATTTGTGTTAGTTTCAGTTGTGTGCAGCTGTAGAAGATCCCAAACAGAAACCTGTAAAACCAGTTTCTGGTCAGGAACAGTGTGCTTCACCATTAAAGCAGAACAACACAGATGAAAGTGACCAGGAGCTGTGAAAAGGTGCAGGTCTAAAAGCACAGCTCAGACACTTCAGTGCAGAAACAACATAAAACATCAAATAAATCACACAATGTTGGACTTTATGTGAATCAACTCATCTTTTCAGATCTTTAAGACGTTTTTACACAAACACAGTTTGAGTTGGAGGATCTTTACAGATATAACAAAACATTAAACTAAGTCTGATGATGTCACTTTTTACTTTTCAGCTGTTTGAACTCCAACAGTTTTACAACCTGTCCTGTTTTATTTTTACTGAGTTTGTCTCTGCTGGTGGTTTCCTCTCACAGAGGTCAGGGTTGTCAGGATTCAGGGCTGATGTTTTCTTATATCTGGATGAAGCTGAGGTCTGAAGGAAACAAATCAAAGATCAGGTCAGACATCACCTGTTTCCTCAGTCTGATCCTCTTTAGAGGCTCCCAGCAGTTTAACACCAGGTGAACCTGAGCTCAGATTAGAACAGTGCTGCAGTGCATTGTGGGTCATTATTAACACTGTTCACATCAAAGAACAAACACAACATTTATTAACAACTAACGCTTTAAGAACAACAATTAAACTGCATGAGATGCTCCGTTTGTGCAGTTAAACATGTTCAAAGTCCTGATCCAAAGTCCTGATCCAAAGTCCTGGTCCAGTTCTGTCCTTCCTGTGGTCCAGACGGTTGTGTGATGTTGCTCAGGCAGGATGTGTTTAACCAACAATGATCATGTGACACAGAGGAAGTGAGCTGTGCGTTCATCTGTGCATCATGTGGCAGGAAGTGACCTCACAGGTTTCATTACTGCTTATTTGGACACAAATTATTTTTTTTTTCTTTTCTACAGAAAGCAGCTCACAAGAAAGTGTTCACTAAGTGTTGATGTTAAAAACCCTCAAACTGTGTTGGTTCTGATGGGTTGGTTCTGTTGAAGGTTGGGTTTAAATGGACCGGGTCCT